TTTTATTGCTAATTATATACAGTGCCCTATAAATTTACAAATAAATATATATTAAACTTAAGATTAAGTAATTGGATTACACAGAAACAATATGAACAATTAAGTATCAGACCAAATGAAGTGGAATTAGCTCATCTTTATTATTTACCAAAAGCTCACAAACCTGGCACTCCACTTCGGCCAATTGTTTTTGGACTTAAACATCCAGCTATAAAAATATCAAAATTTCTCGACGAATTGCTCCGACCATTATTTGATAAAATAGCATCAAACACAACTGTTACTTCTCGAACCGAAGTTATCAAATACCCTAGAGAATATACTGAGTTATGGGTACCCAAAAAAGTACCCTGATACCAGTATGTCACAGGAACTTTTGGGCACCAAAGTACTTGCAGGCACTTACAGGTACCTAAGTCGTACTATTGGAAGTACCCTGCTGGAGAATGCACAGTAATTGGGTACCTAAAGGTACTGATCAAGTACTGAATTGGATACCATTGTATAGTATTTCTAAGTACCCTGTTACCAAATTTTCAGTACGTTCAGGATCGAACCTGATCTTTGACTTTTTAAAATTTTTTCTTTTTCTTGATATAATTTACTAGATTTTTTTTTTACTTTATTCAATTTAATTTTTTCAATTCCAAAAACTTAGCAGGAACAATGTCGGGATCCGACTCAACTTGAGTTGGTCGTAGACCACTTCAGGATAGTCCGATCTTAATTTACGACCAAGCTCGACATTTCCTCGACTAAGAAATAGTCAAGAAATAATTTAGAAAAAACTAGTATGAAAATTGATTATTTTCTTATGATTTATCGAGTTGTTTATATAGAGCCGTACGTAAAAAAGAAAACGGTGAATGAATAGTCGCCACACAGAACGCGAAAAATTTAGGATACCTTGTCGAGCTTTCCTCAGTAAAGTTACAGACTTGTGTATCCATGCAGGTACTTATTCAGTGAATGTACTTTTACGGGTACCCCAAACAGTACATACATCAGTAAAATTACTGAGAATTTTCAAAGTACCCCTACTGGGTACCCTGCTAGAGCTTTCTCAGTACATGGGTACCCTGAACTCAGTACTTTCTCTAGGGTAGTTACACGAATGGTCAAAACGTAATATATGTCAAGACTCTTTACTATGTACAATGGATGTTATGGATCTTTATACAATGATGCCACAAA